TATCATCGTGTGCACGGTTAAGAGCTGGCCAGTTTTAAAAAAAGAAACGTCTGGAATTCACGGTGAATTTCTGATCTGCAAAGAATGCACATTCTGTATTAAGTTATTTAGCCACCAACGCACGTCAATCACGCGGGACAATATTCGAGTGAATGAAACGGCTATAACTAGTAGTTGTAAAATATTAAACAATTTGGCTGCATCACGAATAGATGTAGCGTAATTAGTTTTAAGAATTCGTATTAATTCATTCGACAACCTTCTTTTTATTTGTTATAATTTTTTTTATTTTCCTTCTTATTTTTTTCGAAACGTATTAAATTCATGGGAATAACTTATTTTTTTAAAATATTTTGGTATTTTTTGGGTTTAATGATTGCCGTTTTATTATATTAAAAAACATTTTTTTAACTCTCACGCATGTAATATTAATTATTATAACTTTATTTCAGCCATAGATCCATTTACAAAAGTTTAAATTACAATCATACTAATGAAAAAATAAAAACTAAAATAACTTTTTTAACTATAACTAAATTTAGTAATATATAGGTTACTGTTATTTCTAAGGATTACTTGTCGATCATGTTTCAGCGGTGTTATTCAGTAAGTCGATAAATTAATTTTCGTTAATTATATCTTATTTCCTAAAATCATTCGTAATTTTTTTTAAAACTTTACTAAATACTGTTGTTTTATAAATATTAGAATTTTAATTGCATTATTCTTATGTATAGTTGCGTCTATATATATATATATATATATATATATATATATATATATATATATATATATATATATATATATATATATATATATATATATATATATATATATATATTTATATATATATATATATATATATATATATATATATATATATATATATATATATATATATATATATATATATATATATATATATATATATATATATATATATATATATATATGTATATATATATATATATATATATATATATATATATATATATATATATATATATATATATATATATATATATATATATATATATATATATATATATATATATATATATATATATATATATATATATATATATATATATATATATATATATATATATATATATATATATATATATATATATATATATATATATATATATATATATATATATATATATATATATATATATATATATATATATATATATATATATACATATATATATATATATATATATATATATATATATATAATATATATACATATATATATAATATAATATAATATAATATATGTAAATCCGGTAATAAAATTGTGTTATAATAATATTGAAAAGCTTCTAATATTACATTTAATTAATAGAACATCAGATTTACAAACATTTTTATTATTATCTAAGAAACAAATGCATTTCACACTAGAAGCAATTTTTTTTAAATAAAATGTAACAAATATTTATATTTCAAAATGGCTTGGAAATAGAATTAATTTAAATTTAGTTTTTTTAAGTTAATTTTTAGTTAGTAAATTTGAAAATCAATTTTCTGTAACTTTTAAAGATTTTATTATAACTATTTAATAAAAAATCAACCATCACCTAAAAGCCCATATTATTTATAAGGTATATGAAAGCTAAAATAGTTTGATAAGGTCAATAGTAATAAGTTATAGTGATAAAATCGATTAAGCTAATTTTTACGTCTTACCTTAATTTTGTTAAGAAATCAACCGTTTTTTTTTAAATTTAGATCTATTTATGTTTTATGCTATTTTACATCATTTTCATAATTGTTGTGTTTTCCATAATTAGGGTTTCGTATCGAAGTTTGTAAAAACTTTGCTCCATTTGTTTCATATATTTTTAAAGTTGTGTTTCGTTAGTGATATTACTTAAGGATTTAATATTATCTTATTCCTCGTCTGAACCTGAAAACAATGATTTATGGTCATGGTTACGTCATTTATTTGTATTATTATTGCATACTAACAATTATAAACTAAGTTGAACTTTATCTTCATCTAATTATATATTTTTTTGAGTATTTTTCATAAATTTACATCGACGACAATGATGTTTCTTGTAATAAAGAACTTCAAATTTAACATTTTACTACCGAAATCAGCTCGCCTCGATTTATTACGTAAACATTTTGTTAACGTAATATAAAAATACTAGCGAACCGGGCAGACGTTGTCCTGTACACACACACACGACTTAAATAAAGCCTTCAAGTAACGAATTCGATATGATCGGAAAGTCGACTACATTTTTTCTCGAAATGCTTATTTTCAGTCCAATATTTACCTTTATATTAGATCATTTATTATATTTCTAAGCGAGACATGCTTTAATTTTACGCACAAATGTTTTAAACATCGTTTTAATTGTTGCATTATTAATTCATTTAAATTATCAACCGTTCTTAATATTAGTTGAATGTAAGAAGTAGAGACGTAACTATATTTATGCAGATATTAGAAATCTATTTTCGCCTATGACGCACAAACGAACGGTAGTGTAAAAAGTATAAATTTCATTATTAAGATAATTTGAGAAATACTAATTTAATTCGGACACATCGCTATTAGGGAACGGTGATAAATTTAAGGCAGTAAAACTAACCATTTTAAAGGTTATACGTTTGTAAGATTAATTTTAAATTTTCTAATTATAATTTTATATTTCTAGGTATTCAATATGATTTCATCCCCAGGTCGTAGCGTCATGTTAAACACCGCGTAATTAGTGCGTTCAAACAAACAAACCGTTCAGCTTTATTATATCAATAATGATAGATATAACATTCTTGTTTTGTACGTTATTCTTTTTTTGTTGTAATAGAGGGCTTTATTTTGAAGTCTTGTCTTTTGATTTCTAATATTATTTGATTGGTAACTGTAGTGTTCATTTTTAAACCGGGCCAGGAAAGATCCTCTTCCTAAGAGCATACAATGCGTTTTTTTTGGATACTATGTCCATTTAAATATCTGGAAAATATATAAGCATTAAAACTAACAGCTTATCAAAAAAACACACACTTTGGGTTGTAATCCGCTACACTAATTCCTCACATATTTAATCGTTTAGCTATTTTACTCGGGCTACTTCCGCGAAACTACAATATAAGGTCACCTCGATCGTCAGAATGGAAGATGGGTTAATAAGACTTTGAATACAAAATTTATTCGCTCATCCAACTAGGCATATAGGAAACATCTATTCAATTGTAGTCTTAATCGGTAATTGTTGGTTATATTAAACTTAACGTAACGAACGCATTATTGCAGTTGTAAGATCCACCACTTCCTTCAAGTTCGACTCTGGTAATAAGTAGCCCAAACTTTGGAATTACGATTACTTTCTCCTTCTTCCTCATAGTGTATGTTGGTAAATTAAGAAGATTGAAACGCTAAGATAAAATTATAATTCATAGTAACAGTTATTATATGATTAAATAAGCCAAGGGTTCATTCGTTCAATACCTTTCAGAAATCATTATTTAATTGCATCTTTATACTCTACGAGTGAAAAGCTATATTTAAATAATCATCTCGGAGAGGTAATGAATAGTGCCAGTATCGTGTATAAGTTTTAAAGCGAATACTACTCTAATTATATACGATATAGTTATTGACAATCTCGGAGAAAAAGCAAAACATTTAGACTAAATTTCAGTATGTATCATGTATTTATAATAGAACTTAATATTTCTTTTATATTTATTAGGGTATTGATATACTTTAAGAATATAGTTATAACAAATAGGGCGATCCTGCTGATTTAGTATATTATGCTTACTAATCCGTACTTTTAGTAAGTAACGTAAGGTATATTATGATAATTAATTATTAAGATATCTAATAATGTCTTTCTTCCTATGCAATTTTAATTTCAGTCGTCCAAATTTCGAAATTCGTGTGTTTGCCAAATCCTGTGGTTCTATAATTTGTTCTTTAATTATGTGCTTGTTATATTTAAGTGACGTGTTGATTTTTTTTCTACATTAATTCATTTCTAAGGTTATGTTATGTATATGTCTGCTTTCAGTTTCAGTATTTAGCATCGAAAACTTAGAAATTCTGGTACACTTCAATATGCAATACCTAGTTACTAGTTAACGTTGATAAAGTAGTATCTAAATGAAAATAAATTCAACTGAAATGCATTCTAAAATATTATTAAAAGTATCTTACTATTCATCTGAAATGCTTTTTGTTACGGAAATGAAATTTGGATACTATGTAATTCGTATGTAAAAAAAAAATAAATACACTCCAGTAATATTCGATATTTCAAAATCATCAATTGTTATCTGTCAAGTTTAATTTTTAACCAGTTTCAACCATATGTATATTCAAAGCAATTTCTCAATTTGCGCTATTGAAAATTCGCGTCGCATTTTATTAACTCATATGTGTAGTTTGTACTATCTATTTAAATAAGAGTATGAAAAGAACATGTCCAGCTGTTTTTCTTGTCTCATTTGAAACTGTAAACCTCCCGCCTTATAATATCGTACACATATTCAAATATTGAAAATATTAAGAAGACGAAGACCAAATGCTAATTAGTACTGCCATACAAAAACAGTTTTTGTATGTACACTGGAAGCGAGATACATATTCTTATGATTGCTCCTAAACATGCGAGCCGTGTGCAAGTTGCCCTTTAAAATTCCAGACGTCCTGCTTCGACAAGCACTTGGTACGACTTCCCGGAAAACGTCAATGGCAACACTGTGGCTAGCATATAGGTCAGACAGCAACAGAAAAGCCGAAGCTTAAATCGAAGTTCACTTATGATTCGCACACTGGCCAATAGGCCAAGAGGCCATCGAGGCCGAATCGAGCAAAGTGACTGCCAAGGCCTAACCAACCACTTCACAGACTACCTGAAGCGGGAGGAATTTAACCCAAGAAGAAAAATACGCAACCATGACCGACATTTGCCAACTGTACAACCTCACGCGCGAAGAGGTCAATGAGCTATGAGAGGAATGCGACAAGTATGCCTTCGCGAAGAAAGACTCAGTGCGGCGTCGTCAGCAAAATGCACAAGGAACGCTCCGTGCCCCACATCTGCCAACAGTACAAATACACGCCCGGAGCGGTCAATGAGATATGGGAGAACCCTGAAGAATGCGCCTTGCTAACGAAGGCCGGCAAGAACTTCATTAACAACGTACTGAACTCCAGGATGTTGGAGTGGTTCGACAGTCACTCGGCCATCGATTTGCAACTATGTCGCATAGTAAGCGTTCAACGGAAGTAAGAAGTGGCTGGACCGCTTTATGGTCAAGTATGAAATCTCGTTCAGGGGCTCGTCTCTAAAATGGAATTCAGCAATATCGCATTCGGATGCAAATGTAAGTGCCGGTTCTTAGGTAGCCGGTAGGGACAAAAGCAATTGATTGTTTGTGGCGCCGAAGGCGCATTCCCAGAGAAATTCTGATTCGTTGCCTGTGACCTGAATAAGGCAACACGAAATGTTTAATTAGTAAGCCAAATTCTGGAGCAGATAGTTGCAGACACAGAACAGAAAGGCGATCCTAATACTGGACAGAGCGATGATACATGCAAAGCTCTTGCTATCTAACTTGAAATAACTTTCCGTACCGCGGAAAACGTCTTCGGGCCTGGCACTACTAAGAAACGACACAGTCAACAAGTCGCGCGGTTCAACGGATTGATGACAACGTTTTGTCTTTACAATTTTAAAAGATACAATTATTCGCGTTCTAAATTGTTATTATAGAAAAAGAACGTCACTATTCCGGAACATTTGACACAAGAAGACCAAGCGGGCTAGAAAAGGAAGAAGAGTTAGTGAAGGAAAAGAAAAGTAAAATTGAGACGACTGTACACGAAAAGGAATGGCAAAAGGTCGAAGATCTAAGATTTTGATTGTTTATTGAAAGCGGGTTAACATATATATTTACTCAAAAGCTGGGTCGATTGCATTAGTTTGAAAGTTTAATGGCTTGTGTTGTTCGATGATATCAGATACGACTTCAGTATGCACCATCGAGGCATGTTAAAAGAAATAAAGGCAGAACCGGTTGTATGCTTTGAATCTTCGATAAGTTGATTTCAGTTTTTAATATCAACTTTGTTGGACATGTTCTTTTATGCTATATACATTTTAGTAGATTTCATCGAACATTTGTACTACTATGATACACTCGTAAACAGCTAGATTAATAGAACATAAACTTATCAATTCATTAATAAATAATCATAATTGAAATATGAAATAAGGTAAAATCAATGTTAGATTTTAGTTTATAAGACGTGCCATTATTTATTTATCTGATTATTGCCCTATTACTATTACCATCATATTTTAACCATAATATGTGTGTCTTTAGTTACGAATAAATGTGTAAATAATATCATTTTGGTTTCATTTAAAACGGCTCCTATATATCCTTACGTTTTTTCCCTTGGGAAGTATTAAGTAAGCAAACTGATGATTTGAGAGCCCTGCCCCCCCCCCCCCCCCGAAATAAGCAAAAAAAAATGAAAATGATAAGAACGAAGAGTTTTTTAATAGTGTCTTTCAAATAATAAAGTATTTATGTTTTAATAAACAAAGAAAATTAAGGATCATGAGAAAAGTTTGGAGGGCTCAAATTAATCTTAGAGATTGGATCTATAATTATTTAAATCTGTCACAAAATGGTACCTATTTAAGAAAAATAATCAGAATTAACGTTTTCTGATTAGCACCTTAAAATAATAATTTTGCAATATCAAGCAAACATCCTAGAAAGCAACGCACAATTGGTAACAATGCAATAATTGGTCAACAACTTCAATTTAATCGGATGAACTGCTTTCGAAGACAAAAAAAGGCGTTGTTGCAACAACTATGCAAAATGTCAAAGTATTCCGGAAATTGTTCAGCATTTAGTTGTTAGTGATTGGTAGTTAAGTGACGTCAACAAAACGCATCAAAAGGTCGTGACTAGCATTCGCAAAAGTCTACATTTAGCCAATGTCTTTAATTCCATACCCTGGAATGCATGTGATGCCTGTGATAGTGTCCCTATCACATCATCAAGTGCCCTTCTACTTACAAGCCTAAACATCGATCAAGTGCCGGTTTCAATATTCTTTCTACAAATGGATTTGGTTACTAGCGATAGGTATTTGACATTAGCTACATAATACTGCGAGCTAATGAATCAAAAAGGACAGGACTTCTCTCTGCCAGCAATCATATCGACGATGCTGAGACGGCATGGAGGGCCGTAGCCAACGTTTTTGAGAAACCTATGATCCAGAAGAAAGGTGCTGAGTTAGAGAGAGAGGAAAGATGGCTCTTTAATTTTCAATGGTGCACTCCTATCAGAAACGGGGACTAAGAGGTCAATGAAGAGCAATAAGCCGATGCTGGAGCAGGTCCGGAATGCTTTGTGAAAAGACCCTGAATAGCTCGATGGCATTAAGTAGCCTAGCACTGGTAGCACTGCGGGTATGGCTATCTAGCCCATGCGAATGAGGTGACGCGGTAGTGTTTCGAAACACGATCACGTGGCCCCTCATCTGAGTAGCTGCCGATCACCGTGGGGATTTAGTCGGTGCGAGTCTCACATTAGCCGCGGTTACCGTACCCCACTGGGAGCTCAGGTATTCATAACGGATCTCTCCACTAGAAAATATAGGGGTTGGTGATAATTTCTCAAAGAGTACGCGAAACCCTGGCATCAGAGACACTATGTGACAATGTGCTCTGGACCATGCCTCGCCTGGCTTCTATATTGATACCCGGCATGTCTCTTCTTGACCTCGTCCATATTTTGCAGGTCCTTGACCTTAGGTGAAAAATGGTTCCTGGTTTGCCGGTATGTGGCTGGCAACAATATTTGTTTCCCGGTACCTTGCCGCATTTCCTCCGATGTGTCGGCTGGTATGGCCTGATTGTTATGAAACTTACGTTTATACCCTTAATAAATGTCACAACTGGTTCAGGTAAAAAAATGTAGTACTACCCCACCATACTTATGTTGTGTACGTTGTAGGTTAAGGGTTACATTCGCAAAGTTACGAACATTATTATGTATGCGCATCGTTTCGTTTTTTTAATATCTAAAACCTTTTACCTCATTCACTGGTAATGGAATGTTACTTAGTTATACAAGCCTTAGTTATAAAAGCCTTCTAAAGTATTACACTTTATCGATATCGTAAAATTTTAAGGTTGTCCTTGAGTGATCACTAATGTTATTGTAGTGTTATTTAGCTATCTGTTGAACAAAATAAAACTACTGTGTTTGTTCGTGTTTCTGTATGCATAAATAGATATTTGAAATCACTGCTCATCCGTACTTACATGCAATATAGTATTCTTAATTATAAATTATAAATTAATAACTGAATAGTATTTCTAACATACATTTTTATCTTATATAGTAACAATTTATTCATTATCCAACCCATGGAACAGCGGGTTTTTATACAAGACTAAATATTATACTTTTAAAATTTCGTGCGAAATTGTAAAAGTATGTGTCAGCATTTTCATTTTACCAAGTTTAGATTGATATAGCTTTTCTTTATTCGCAGACTCCACGAATTATTTTAAAAGGTCTATTAAAGCAATCCACCGCAGTCTATGTTACGTACATTAATTACGACCTCCGCTTGTAGTACTTCGGAAGTTTAAAGTGAATTTGTTTGTGTACCTACGCGTAACTTGAGTAGCACTCTATTCTGTAGCGAGTAAACTTTTTAAATGTTTGTGACTATGATACGTAGTGGATTCTTTAACAACATTAATAAAGTTAATACTGGGTTGCCATGTGATGTGTCAGTAAATTGTTTTTATTAAGAAGAAAAATTTTCATCAAGTAATGTTTACAGCTATTGTTTAAAGAAAGAGGACTAGATTTTAATATACGCTTGTATAAATGAAAGCACAGGCAAAGACACGTTATGGGACATGTTTGTATTACTGGTATGAAGGCGTAAATCAGCCGCAGACTTGCAGACTTCATATTATTTTATTACCCTCCTACCCTTATCTAACCTTAATCTTACACTTAGTAAGTGGGTCACTCTAGTATTTTTGCGTTGTGGTAAAGTCAGACAAAACCTTCCCTTGCGTGGGTGGTCCGAGTCGTGCATAACATAGCCTAAAAACCTGTATTTTTTGAAGCGGAATTCATATTTATGTTTTACGTTTGTGAGCGAGTTGAGTGAGTTGAGCTGTTTAGTAAGGTTGGCAACGCAGCTGCCAATTGTAGATGTCCATGGGTAGCGGTAATAAATTAATATCACACAAAACTATTTATCACACAAAACATCATAATCTCGGGATGGCGCACCAGCTTTTTGTAACCTCATCGGAGATAGACAGAGACATGCAAATGATCACTACATAGTATAAAACAAAGTCGTCCCGCTGTCTGCCTGTCCCTATGTATGCTTAGACCTTTAAAACTACTCAATGGATCTTGATGTTTTTTGTTAGAGAGTGATTCAAGCGGAAGGTTCATATGTATAGTACATTGCACCCGTGTGCAGCCGCTGCAGTATCAGAGAGCTTATTAAAATCCTTATTAAAATCCTTGCAAGATCGTGTGCAAACCTTTTGGTACGTAAAAATTGGAAATGAGACAATTGTTTATGTAATTCATGACAACACATTTCTAGACCGATACTTCCAGATGAAGTCATCAGTGTCTTAAGATATGTACTTTAATACTTATCAATTCATGCACGATGTTTCTGTAACTAAATTGGGGTATTCAACAATATACGAGTAGATTAAATCGAAATCTTAACGCTGTTACTATATTGTGACAGTTGCTTTTAATTTAAACAAGCAATATATTTATAGTCACTGAAAGCACAACTCAAAGAGCTCACATTACAGTGAATGTGCTTTAGTAAAATTATAATTTCCAATGAATACTGTGTGGGTTGGGATCAAAGTGGTTATTCTCATCTCTCACATTTACAATATTTAAAAAAATACAACAATTTTTCGGTTTTAATTCCCCATGTTTCGAGTACGCATGGCGTGACCATAAAGGACAAGTAAGTTTAATATTTACACGTATTATTACTCTAAGCGTGTGTACTTACAAATAAAAATTTACGATAAACAAAAATCCGCCTCTGAAACGAGAACTGTCTATGCACATTGGCGTATCTAGGTTTATTTTTCAGGGTAGGCCTGGGCCTTTACTACAAAAAAAGAGTCGAACACTATGAGTCGCATTAAAGAAGTAAGTGTTCGCTATCGTTAATAATTTTTATTAAGGCGCTGTATGCAGTAAAAATAGGTTTTTCAAAAGATTTTTTAGCAAAATCTACACATTTTATAGCAGCAAAAAAATATAAGTTAATCTTGATCGTACATTCTAATGGAACATTGATTCCATGTTTGTATTTATTCAAAGTTGAAACAGTTGGAGAACAATCTATCAGTGAATAAACCAACTTTTAGTATTAAATTTTTTTAACGTCATCTATTTTTTTATTAAAATATTTATTTTTCACCCTAAAACGAAAATTTATCTTATACACGAAAAATAATTGTTTTGTAATTTTTCTTATTAATTTCTTTATTTCCCAAATTGAGCC